AGAGATTGTCTATGTTTGAGATCTTCCCTTTTCAGGTCCATCAGCAGCACGCTACTGGTTTTGGATCTACTCTTCTTATTACCTTTTATGGGTAATGCAGTGATGTCGATGATAGTTCTAGCCAACTTCGAACGATCAACCATATCACAATCTTTATATAGACCAGTTACTATATTTAGAAGCATCGATTATTTTACGGTTAAGCCAATAGATAGAGATCCTTTCCTTTTTCGAGAAATAACCCCTTAAAATCCTCTTGAAGGAATTGAACCCTAATCTTGTGATATGACCTCTGGAGCACTAACCACTGCGCTATAGACCCAGAGATCATATTTCTAGTGATCTTTATTAATAAAGTAATTGAACTATTACATAATTAATATTAAGATACTAAGATATATCATTATATATGTCAGCCTATTACCGTTCTAAGTATATTTTTGTTAAAAAACCTTGGAGCAAAGAAAAGAGAAAGTAATTACTTAGTTTGGGGGCTAATGCCTCACTGATAATTTATTTTATCCTGTACGGGCATGAATAAGTTTTGGAAAAATAATTGAAGAATGATATTAGTTAGTTTATTATTTTGATTTGTATTATTGGTTATGAAATTGTTTGAAGTTGTTTATTATTGCAGTTAGGGTTGATGTTTTTTGTTTTTTTGTATGTTGTGGGATTTGTTATTATTGTTGTTATTGTTGTTATTGTTATTGTTATTGTTTTTGTATTTGGTGTTTTGTGATATGTCTAGAAGTTTTTCCTCTGCGATTATCTCCTGATTTCTGGGTATTCATATTTGTATGTATAGTAGCTCAAGTATTTTGTTTTGGATTTCATTAATGTTTTTGAGATCAGTTTGTATTGGTTTGAGATTTTTAAAGATTGTGTTTGGTTGTAAGGTGCCTGTTGCAAAGTTAACAGTATTGATATTGATGTTTTGGATTTGTTTTTCATCAAAATTTTTATTGTTTTTGAATTTTTTTCCCAATAGTATTTGCATGTCATTGATTATTTTTTGAGTGTTGTTAGGCTCTTTTTGCAGGTTCAAAGATGGTGAGTTGTTTCTGAATTTGTGTTGCATCAAAAGTCTATATAAATTATATACTTTACATCCAAACTATTGTTAATTAAAATCATTTGTTAGAATAACTTCTTATTATATTTTTTAGAAAATCCATTAATTAACAATATATGTCTTGATAGTTGTATTAAATATTATAAGAAAATCTTTAGTATTACCAAAGATTATATAATTTGTGAAAGTTTTTTTATTTTTAAAAATTTAAATATATGTACATCTCAGAAAACATAAAAGTTATTAATAAACTAATAAAGATATTAATAAAATATATAATAACAATTATAGCAACTTAATAGTATTCAGGATCAAACTATTATTAGAAACCTTACCTATTTATCAACTACTTTATCAATTATATTTCAATCAATATTTAGATACTCTATACATAATATATAAGCTTTATATTGAAAATATTTAATATAGCTTCAAATGTTTGTAGTCTTTAAAAGGTCAAAAAAATTATTAAAACTATTAATCAAATTTTTCAACCAAACAATAATTAAAGACCAATTATATATATATGGCAAGTTGTTGAATTGTCATATAATATTTCAAACAATGATTTTTAATATTAGACTTTTTTAAATAGATTAAGGCCTTAATAGAATCTATAATCCAGTTATACAACTTAATTTGAAAACTATGCTACTCTATAATTAATATTTCGCTATCTACCAGAATTAAGTAAAATTCTAACATATTTCCTAATGTAACTTATCTTCTTAAATTAATTAACAACTATATATCATAAGTCAAAATCTCACTTGTTAATATTTCTTCTGAAGAAATTATTATTGATCTATCTACTATAGTTACTAATATCTTTATTTATTATAAATATAATTATTCTAAATATGCTCAAATTTAATATCTTTATTACCCAATTCTACTTCTTCTAATATTAAGTAGGTATTTATAGTTGCTTAATGCTATTTGACAGGATATATTGTTTTAAATTTTCTTTTCAGTATTAGTTAAATGGTTGGTGTAGGCAAACTAGCATTTAACTTATTGTATTATATATGAAAAATATTGTTTTTATTGATATATACATTGATATATAAATGATGTTTATATATAAAAAAAGAATTAAGACATGTGATATATTAGATTGTATTATAAAATTATGTTCTATACTATTTTTCTATTAACAATATATATTCTTGTTTTGAATATACTGTTATAAATTTGTTTTTATAAGCAAAATAAAGAAAATCAATAATTTATCAATACAATATTTCTCGATATAAATAAAAGCCTTTGATATTATTATTTTTATGGTTTTATATAAAGAAATTTTGTAATTAAGATTCAAATTTTTAACTAGATTGATAAAACTGTTGTCAGTTAAAACCAAAAAGATTGGTTATCTTTAATTATAAATTTTGCTAATTTGTGATTTTATTTTTTTTTATGGGATTTTGTTTTATAATATAATTTTGTTATTCATATTTGTTTGCTGTTATATTTTTTTATTAAAGATTCCATATACTGTTTTTAAATAGTACCAAAAATTATTTGTTAATTTCTTTGTATTTAAATTTAAAGCCTTTTTGTATATTTGGTATTTATTATCAAATATTTGGAATTAAAATTATTAACATCTTTTCTAATAAGTCTGCAACTTATATTAAATATAAACTTAAAAATAAATTGCTTCTTCAGAGTAATTTTCATGTTATACTATGTAAGTGTTGGTTTTTTCTTTATTTGCGGCATGTTATTTTGTTTAGCTAAGTTTTTTACTAATAAACATTTACCTATCTTTCTATTATCTGCTTATAATTGACAGCCTTGATTACTTTTCCCTTTATTTACAGTGCCAAATCCATTAATATTTAATTAATAAACATGTTTTCTGTACTAATGGCTCAGAAAATAGTTTTGAGTAATATAAGGAGGAAATATGACGGATGGTAAAAAATCTTCATGAAGAAAGAAAAAGGATCATTAATGACATGACCTTGGCAAAATTAAATTACGAGCTTACAATAATATCCATGCCAACAATACAATATCTATTTAGAAATATTCATATAATATTTGTGCATAAATTTAAACATTCATTAATACATTGTGTATAAATTTAAACATTCATTAATACATTGTGTATAAATTTAAACATTCATTAATACATTGTATACAAGTGCTGTATTTTTTTGGAAACCTCTATGAAATAAAACTCATGATGCTATTTTCTATCTAGTAACAAACCAAAATTCTTTTCGGGAAATAGATAAACGAATTATATTTTATATAATACTGTATTATGATACATTATTAAATCAAATTATTTTGAACCTGGAATTTCCAAAATACGTTTTTTTCTTTTCACGTAATAGAATGTTAGACAGGAAATAATAATAAAAATTACGAATCCTAATGAAACATATGCGCCAATTAAAATTTTTTTGTTTTTATCTGATTCCGATGAATCTTTATTAATCGGAGTCGAAGATGGTATATATGAAGGTTCATATGAAGGTTCAGGCTGAAGTCCTTTGGAAGCCACAAATGAACTGACCCATGAAATACTTGTAACATTAAGCAAATATAGTTGATCATTAGGACTTGGATAAGAACCCTGGTCACCTGGGATGTAGCCTAGTTTTCATAATGAAAATCAGTCAACATGATGTAATAAAAATTTTACATTTAATTTATTTACCGAATGCAAGTATCATATAATCTCCATATAAATTTGCTGAATGTCTAGTTAAAGGTGGTGCACCATCAAGACCGCTGGCAAGATATGGCATATACCAATTATATGGTGTAACACTTGTGTCTAATATTGCAAAGATGGGAAAAGCCGGAGTGCCTATTATACTTTCCCCTCCGTAAATGAATATTTTATCCTTGACTTTTGAGAGTAGTTTAAAATGTATACAGTATATATACAGTAAATGATAAATAACGTGTATTAATTTTAAAATGTCATATAAAGAAAGCAAATACTGTACCAAGTACTGCAGTGTGGCCTTTTCGTGGCCGCGGACTATTAGCACCCGTTGCAACCTATATTAGGATACAATTAAACCCGATGTGTTGAATATACTGTATGCATATTACTTTTTATGAAAAGCTTACCATTGAGGACCATGTTGAATGTTTAGTGTCATAGAGTTGAAGCTAAGTTCAATAAGAATGTTAGCATTCATTTAACATCCAACAAGTGATAGTTTAACAAATATTACGTTGTTTATAGAAACAAATGATGGGTTTGGGTTATTAGTGATTTCCTCTCCTCCGATATAAACAATGACGTCATTTTCCAAGAGCGTAGCAGTATATTCTCTTCGAGGATACGGACTGTTAGAAGTTGGTGGAATATTGGTCCAAACATTTGTATGCATATCCAGAATAAACATATCATTAAAAAAAGGAAAAGTAGTATTGTGTATTTCATATCCACCAAAGATATACACTTTTCCCGTATTAACTGCTATAGCGACCATCGACTGCCTTCTTACTGGTCTGACTCCATCGGTTTTAAGTGCATTCCACACAGTATTATTAGAATCAAATGTATATACAGTCGTATTAGAGGAATCTGTCATATTTCCACCCATTACATAGATAGTAGAATTATCAAGTGGACTAACAACTGAAGTGGAATAGACAAAAGGAATTGGAAGAACTGCAGATGATGTTTCCCATGGAGGATTATTGGTATCAAATGATTTAGATAAATCCAAGTAGAATGTATCATAATAAGTTTGATTGAGAAGAGATCCACCAAAATAATAAAGTCTATCCCCGATTAGATTTTGTGATTGGGCAATTCTGTTGAGTGGCGAATAACCAAATGTTTCTGAAATAAAGAACAAAAGCATAAAAATAAAACTCATATTAATTAGCATATTGATAGATACGAGAAATTGTCTGTTCATAGCAGACAGCTATATTATTATGATTCTTAACGAATATTAATACCATTTTCGTAGTCATTTCTTGCATCATCTTTAATACTGTACATGTGTTACAAAAAAGAATACAGTAAAAACATTAATGCCATAGTAGCACCTAACATTTATTATGCATTTTATTTGCATATTCCATGCACACTTATTTAAACATAGATGCGAGGTTCCTTGAATACGGCGAGCTACTCTTATCTGACTCATGCTGTAATACGCCCACTACGGCATTAGGCGAAAAAGGCGATTCAGCTGTGGTGTAGTTTACCATGACGATCTGATGATCTTTTAATTGCACGTATCTTTAAATAGAAATCAAAGGTTAAGACTAATCATAACTATATAAGTATTTTTCAAAAATAAAGTTTTCTATAATAAAGTTTTCTATAATAAAGTTTTCTATAATAAAGTTTTCTATAATAAAGGCTTGGGGTTTTTTCATTGAAAAATAAATTTATTAAATTATTCTTTTACTGTATTTTAAAAAATTACTTTGGCGTCTTTATGTTTGTGATAAAAGTTTGGATAAATTTTTTTATAAGTTTTTTTACTACATACACAAATATGAATGATGTGAGATGTCATTTAAGTATTATTAATACAGAAAATCGCAATATGTTTTAATGACTTGCCATCCACTTTTTATCCAAAACCTTATAAATAAGTTTCTAACATTTGGCAAACCCGTTATTCTTCGAATTCATTATTGAAGAAAGGTTAACTAAGTGGAAAAAACGGATAAAAAAATACGGTACGTACATTTGTATTTATAACAGTGAATATTATATCTAAATAGATAGGCTAGTTATAATGTGTCAATAATACGTATTTCTTTTCTTAACCGATGATCTATCATTTTCTTGAATAAAACAAAAATTCTGTCGACGCATCTATCTATTGATTTTCGACAAGCACGTTATCAATAGCAAAAAAAAAAAACTATTTGTAAGAAATGTGCTTATACAGTATTTAGTAACAAGAAAAAATGAAACAACCAAGAGTTAAGTTTGTTAATGTAGGAGGGATTATGGATCGACCGGACGCGACAATGGCCACGTAGATACAGAAACATGAACGATAATCAAATTTGTATTCTCCTTGCAGAGATAATGTGTGGATCAGCTGGGATTGTCGTGGGTCACGTAATATGGTGCGATGCATTAGATCATGCATCAAAAAGTTAAAATATTTGGGTGGATTTGCATGACGCGACGATAGATTAGTGTACGCGTCGCGGCTCCTATAAATAGTGGTGGAATTACTAATTAACAAATATAGTTAATTACGATAATCATTGAACTTGCAGTCATTTATAATTGTGCCGCAATAATTAATAAATTTGCCTTAATTGTATATTTATCATCTTAGAAGATTCCAAGAACCATAGAGACTTGTGGTGAGGGATTGACTCGGCAATTGAGAAAAAGAGGCTTGTTAACAAGTACCTTTGACGTGCAAGCGATACAAGCCCCTACTCACCTATTGTTGCGCGAGTGCTAGTCCGGGTTTAGCGGTAGACTCGCCGAATAACGATATAAAATACTCTAGTGTAAGGGATAAAATAAAAAAGAATGGTATAAAAGAATTTTAAATGTCTGTATATCTTCAATAGGTGCCACGATAATGTAGTCATAGACACATAAATGGCACAGTGAAGATAAAATGCAAGTTAATGGAGATCGTACGCGCCGCGTAACGAACAACGATACTGTGACGTCCCGTGATCTATCTGGATTGTTCGAGATCCGATCCTGCCACGACCAGTCAATATAGTGACTGTGAGTGACGACAATGACATTGTAGAAATTGTTCTATAATCATTATATGATCATTCTTAAATTGTATTATTCTATATTTAGTATAGTTACTTTATTTTATGATGGAAAAACGTATAAATATGTGAGAAAATATTATTAATAAAGTGTGTGTCGAAAAAGTGAGAAAACTTGATCAGATCGTACGCCTAAAATCATCAATGTTTCACCAGTAACGATTACGCGAATTTCTGTTGGCATTAGCAACAGACTCACCGTTTTCCCGTTACACTATGAAACCATATAAAGTTATATAAATAGATGTACGTTAGTTAATGTTTAAAATGCCATATTTATAATTAATTTAAAGTTAACTTCTTACTGAATAAATATTTTTGTCATTACTACCGAGTCTGTCACTATATAAGACCAACTCTTCGCGTAACGATAATCCAAACATTGGTTTATGCCGCTTAATGAAGGCAAGGCTTTAACTTGATGCGTATTGTTATTTAGTCAGCTTCATACACACTCGCTAATATTTCCCTTGGTAATTCAGAACACTACCTTGGTCCTTTCTATCCAACATGGTCCCTTCAATATACAAATGTTTCACACAAGGTAAATGATAGCCATTGTTTTATGTTTTTGTCACTTCTTATTTGCTAAAATTCATTGACAATTATTACGTTCTGTCTTTCCTTTTTGTTATAATCTCGCGACGCGTCGCCATGTTGTGTACCCGACCCTGATATTATCCATAACACTATATTATTGTAGAGTATCGGTTTAATACAAAATATGAATAAATAAAATTTTTTATAAACAATAATTTATTAGTCAATAAAATGATTCAATAATTATATAAGTTTACATTGCAATTGTAAAAAACTTATTATTGAATAGTTTTTTTCAATAAATCGACTAAGGAAAGCTATGGACCTGACAGAATAAAAGTTTTTTGTTGATATCTCCTTAAAAAGACAGCTACATTTTTTTTTTAAAGTCAGAAATTGCTTTATACGTGCTTTCTAAACTTTATAATACATACGAAAATAAAATGAACAAGTATTTTAGCAATATTGTATGATATAATAACTGAATGTAAAGAAAAAAACTTATTGCGCAAAAATCATAAGATCATATCCTAATTTACATCACACGCTAATAATATATTGAAATAAGTCATGTATTAGTAACACTAATAATATTATTGTTTGCATAATTGACAGAAAATGAGCAGAATTAATTTAACTAGACACATCAAAAAAACATTCTATTAACACAATTCGTTATGAAGATTCTAAAATAATATTTTTTTCTTGCGATTATAGTTATTGATAATTTCTTCCTCACTGAAAAGATTGATGCGATAGAAAAAGAAAAATATTGAAAAGCTTTTGTCTAATATTAATAGTCTACAACTAGAAAAAAGGAAATCGTTGTATGTCCGGAACATAAATATAAGGTACATAGTTAATTTGCTATAACGCATCCATTCTATTAATTATACGCTTTATTAAGTTAATTTTGTACTCTATTTATTAGGTTATTTCGCGTATTTACGTAATGACCAGGGCAAGAAGCAAATGACTATCTTGTCTGAACCGTATAGTCTTTCTCTTCGCTCCGGACAACCAGCAACTCCAAAAGCAAACGCAACCTCATGTGAACATGGATATTATTTATGTTCTTGTTGGATGCATTTCGTGAATATTGCATATATTTAAATGAATAAGAATAATTTACAATGAAAAAATTGGCTGTTGCGCAAAAAAAAGCATTGAACCGAAGTTTATTCTATTTATATAATACGCTGAAAAACCGTTAAACAAATATTTTCATAATCATGTATTTGTATTGTAACGGACAATCAATGATCCTGTTGCTACTAATAACAAAAATTCGCGTAGCCGTTACTAATGATTAAGGATAGAAGGTAAGTGGTTAGGCGTTTTTTTGTTTGACCGAGATCTCACTCCATTAACTTTAATTCCTTCATCTTTTATTACAAAAATAAATAAAACACAAAGTAACAAATACAGAAATATAAAATAAAGTATTATTATATAATAAATTCCACAATGTCATTGTGCCAGGATCAGATCTCGCAATATTCCAGCAGAGATCGATTACGTGACGGATGATAGTATCGCCGTTCGTTACACGGCACGTAAAGTCTTTCATGCCCGTATTACCCTTCTATTGCGCCGTCTCATACTGTATGTCCTGAGTCACATTTCGCAACACCTAGTGCAGGTACGCGAGAGCAACACTCCTCTCTTTACCCCTTGTAGTATCGATAAATGATATATTTAGTAAAATGTGATACGATATTACTTGCCCAACTGATGCAAATAATTGTTGAATTTATTCATTACTTTCTATATAGATTCTTTAATCGATTATTGTTCTTGTCATATGGTTTTCAATCATCGCTCTCTTATTGAAGGGAAAAATGGATTTAAAAAAAAAAAATAGAATTTCTTGAAGGCTTTCGCCCTAAATTTAACCAAAAATCATCAATTGTCTCAAAAGTAACGATGCGTGACAGCAATACGGATATTGACACATTATCTCATTCGCAATTCTAAATTTACTTGGACATACCTTGCGGCTGCAGCCCAACCATTCAAAGCTGCGACCCAGATGCATTATGCTATAGCAGAGTAATTGCATTTGTCCAACTGGTTAGGTTGTAACAAATGCCTGGATACTGTAATACATATTGTTTGTAACAGAGGTTGGACTAACTTACACAAAAATCATACATAAAGTATACACAAAATAATAAGTAAACGTAGGAAATATCGTTAACGAGAATACGTAGCGATGATAGATGCAATTATAGTTGTTAAGGCTTGTCTTATTACGTAAATGGTGTTGTTAATTTAAACGCCTAATTTGATAAATAATGAATAAAATGACTTTCATACTTGATGGTTTCTAAGCTTGATTAAGATAATGCATATATTACGCATATTAAGGAAACACTACTGTACAATGCGCTTATCTTTCATAGGTTCAAATTTTTTCTCCTTAAAGAAAATTCTGTTTAGATTTTTTCTTTCAAGATAGCGCATGTAACATTTCTATAAGAGGCTATATTGCGTTAACAGATGCAGACATATTTGTTTACAGCATTTCATTCATTCTACTCCTTTTACAGTAACTCTGGTCAGATTTCGTGCAACTTTTCTACAAGTGGAAAAGGGTGCAAGATATTTCGTACTACTTTAATATTCTAGAATAAAGAAATAAAACAAATCAATATGCAAGAAACAATAAATGTTCAAACTTCGATATACAGTATATATATATATACAGTATATAGTATACAGTGTATATTATAATAAAATTAAATTATTGACCAAACTTTTATTTTTCGTGATTAAATAAGCATGTAGACATTCTTTAATTTTTTGAATTAAATATACTTACTTGTTTCATTCAAGTCAGAGCTAATCGATTAATAAGGTAAACATTCATTCAAATTAAATAACAAAAATTCATGAAAAATCAGAATTGATTTATTCAATAGATATGATAATAATAATAATAATAATAACCACAATAATAATAATAAATATAATAATAATATTTTTATTAATAATTTTATTTACTGTATTTATAATAAAGCATGTCAAATGACTTTTTTAAATAAAAAAAAATATTTTTAAAATTATATTTTGAACCACAATTTTGAAATACTGTATATATATTTTTAAAAGAATTTAACATATGACTGTAGTATCATTAAATCTAATTTTAAAGTATATTGTGAATAGATAAATAGTCAGATATTTTATCTAATATTAATTAATAAATCCATGCAAGTACAATAGTTAATATTAATCAATAACTTTATGCGAGTACGATAAATTAATATTCTAGGTCGATTAAAACATAACGTTTTGAAAAAATGATTGAATTCATTTATGAAATAATTCACATACTTTATATGAATTAAATGCTTATTTTTTTAAATTTTTGTGCCGTAACTGATCAGGAAAAAAGAAGTGATAAAGCTTGTAAAGTGGATTAAAGAATCTTAAAAAATAATATAGATAGTACATAAAAATAAAATAACGATCAGTGTCTCGATAAAAATGGCAAAGATTTTTGTTTAGTTATCAATACAGTAAATCCGATTTTCAAAATAATAAAACATACTTAGTTATTGTAGCTACAATTCTGGTTCGTTTTTAAATTTTGTAATTTATCGCGTATAAAAATATTGTTAATGTTAAATAACAACTCTATTATTACCCCTGTTTTATATCACTAGTTACAATATATTTATGTCTCCGGTTTCTTGCTTAAAAATGGTATCCTCAAAGTATACAATAATTACGACTGAGCCAATTTTTTATTTACGAATCTCCTTAGAACCGCGCTACGGTCGCGGAAATATGTAAAAAAAAAAAACGCATTAAACCTAAATCCCTGAATTTCATAAACTCAAATTTTACATTAATATTTGGAAACATATTTCAGTGACATCAATAGAAGCCAACAAATTTAATAAAAAATAATTTAAATAAAATTATTGCTCGATGTAAAAACAAAGATCTCGAAAAGAGGTATTGTCATAGTCATGTATGTATAACAATAAATTATGCGTATAACGAAATACAATTAAATTTACGTAAATATCATATTTACTGGATTTATTTATAAACACCCGTTCAAGGACTCTCTCATCTTAACTTCAAAGTCCGTCATGAAGTTTCTTAAATTAATAATTGTCCTTGTCATCACATTCCTCGGCAATTTCGCTTTTGCAGATGAAATAACGAGGGAATCGCAACAGCTTACAGTAATTCCTCCTGCTTTCAGCATAAAGACATTCTTAAACGTAAGCGCTTCGGGTTGTCCTAGCTACTATTATTTATGTGCTAACGGAGTAGGTTGTTGCCCCGTGGGTGCTGCTTGCCTCCCAGACTATAAATGCGACGTTAAATGTACCTCTAAAGATATACCTTGCGGTGATGGTTGCTGCCCTAGCACTCAATCTTGTGGCCCAAATGGATTGTGTCAAAAATTAACTTGCCCTAGTGGTTATTATGGATGCACGGATAGTTCGGGTGGTTGTTGCCCGAACGGCTATAGTTGTGTGCCTAATTACAAATGCCAGCCGAACTCTAATTCCAATACGTACGATCCCTATACGTATTCACCGGACTATATTACGAGCACCACGAGTACTAAGAAAACTACAACCACTACGAGCACAACAAGCACTACGAGCACAACAAGCACTACGAGCACCACAAGCACTACAAAAACTACGAACAATCCGACCACCACAACCGATCCTTTTATTGGCAACGGAAATGTGGTCAATTGTAAAATTGTTTTAGTAATAGCAATTCTGATTATACAAGTTTTTTTGAATTTAATGTAATACTCCTTTATGACAATAGTTTATTGTTCGAGACTTTACTAAAAAGTTAATTTAATTTGTGTTCCCTATGCAATAAATTATGGTCGAAATCACATGTGTGATATGTTTTTAGAGCTCGTTGCGACTTTAGCATTTATTTTACTATTTAATTGTTTAAAGGAAACGAGTCAATGATTACTGTTTTTGTTTTCGTTATACTGTACAAAGAAAAAATAAAGTACCCCTCACTTGGTGTAACACAAACAATACCATCAAACATGTTGACACGGCCCTTCGTAATACTATATAGTCAGAATATTTTACTGACTGCCTGATTAACGGACAAAGTGATATGTATTGATAATAAAGCAGAAAACTTCTGAGTAAAATGCGCAACTTTATAACCGAGATACACAAGCCAGCAGTATATAAAGAGATTATAGTACAATAATTTTTAAATCACTGCTTTGCATTGCGCTTATACAGTGGCTCGTAAAATAAATGCGATACCTGGTCTAAAATCATAAATTAGTTTCTCATTAATCAAGCATATTTTTAAGTAAGGCTAGTTTTATAAACTCTTTGACATATTATTAGCTACAAAAAATGTTAATTTTATTTAATTACAACCGAAAAAATATTTACACACAAATCAATTCAAAGCGTTTTTAGTGTAAGGGGGTAAGTTAAGACGCGACGCACCTCACGTGACTGATCGTCGTGAAGGGTACCGCGAAGAACCTGTTCTTGGTTGGCGGTACACGATTATCTAATGTGGAGAAAAGAAGGAAGGGATTGTGAAAAGGGATTTATGTAATAGAGGCTTAGCATACCTATTGTTCTTAAAGTATAGCCGCACTAGCCTCTGTAAATAAAAAAGATGTATAAAAAGAAATTATAAAATAAAATACTCGACCAAATCAAAACACGCCTCCTTAACCTTAATAATTACTCGCCCTATCGCGGTTACGCGAAATCTTGTCCTCCTTAGCGACAGACTCGCCGTTCCACCCCTACACTAGATTATCGCGAGATCATATAACACTGTATTATGTAATCTACGACTGGGTAACAATGTAAGGAATGGTGTGAGATTTTAATTGTGATCGTGTTTTCCGACTTATCCGAGTTCTCCAATCCCTCCATTTGACACCACAACATTTCTCAATAATACTGTTGACACTGTTTCAATTTAAACAATTGGATGTCGTAAACCCACACCATTGAAAGTTTGAGAATGGCTGCGTACGCCCTGTACCATGGGTTAGGTTGGAAATGGCTGCAAACACCCTGCACCATGGTTAGATATATCATTTCTGTGCATAATAGATGGACATTAGTGGCAACGGATATTGCATACCTAAAAATAGAAACACTGTAGTGATATACTGTCATTAAACTAGATGGATATAAGACTATATTCCATAGTGTTTTAATAAATACATTTTTTATTTTAAATACTGTATGTCAAATTGATCTTGAGCAAGGATAATTTGATTGATTTGATACATTGTGTGGAAAATAGTTAGCTTCGAAAATATACCTAAGTCAGGTTGTCCTCTTTCCTCTCAATTCATACTGAACGTAAAATTCTTTGACACACTGTTTCCACAGATACCATATGCATAGCACTCAATAAAATTAGTTTAGTACCAAGAATCAGGAAAAAAAAAACTATATCTTCAAAAATATACTGGATTTAGTATCTTGCATTTGCATAAAAGTATTTATGATTGAAAGAGGGTAGTATAATCTGACAAATGCAATTTTGAGCTTTTGACGGACTTTGAAGTTAAGATGAGAGAGTCCTTGAACGGGTGTTTATAAA